TTGAGCTAGTTAAAGGGACTGAGGGTGAAGCTGTAGACTTGGGCTGCATCCACACTGCAGAAAAAATCTATTTTGAGCCCACTTCCACTGCCATGGCTCCATGCTCTGGAATTCTGGGCATGGTCATTTGTTGTGGCAACAGAGCTGCCCAACAGGTGCCCCTCCTTGGAGGAAGGCTCCAACTTCCTGCTCCTGCCTGGATCCTCCGCCACCAGTGATCTGAACCCTCCACATTCCTCCACCTCAGGAAGCTTGGCTTCCTAGTGGGAACTACATGGAATAAGGGCACAATTCACTTCCATAGTGGGAACTACACATCAGCCTCAATTGAACCTGTGACCCGGTGTCAGGGCAATTCATAAACTGGTTTAAATGTCAGTGGGAATGAACCCCAAGTGTCAGGGTTTTATGGGGAAAGTCAGTGTGATGTAGTGGTTTGAGTGTTGGACTACAGCTCTGGAGACCAGGGTTCGATTCCCAGCTCAGCCATGAAACCCACTGGGTGACTTTGGGCAAGTCACATGCTCTCAGCCTCAGGGGAAAGCAATGGAAAATCTCCTCTGAACAAATCTTTCCAAGAAAAAACCATTATAGCTTTGCCTTAGGGTCCCCATAAGTCGGAAACGACTTGAAGGTACACAACAAAGTCAGGGTTTTGTTTTGAAATTTCACCTTTCTGAAATTTAAAATTTCACAAAAATCCTGAAAGTTTAATGAAAAAGTTAACATTTAGAAAAGTTCAAAGTAAGTTAATAAACCAAGACACCAATGAACCTTTTGTCACTTATCATGCACCTGTACTTAGCCAATGGACTTTAGCAGCTGTTCTGCTAAAATCATGTTCTTTTCAAAAGTGCTATGCAATCAGGGCTACTCTCTCCTTTATCACACTTTTAATTTGGATATTACAGCCTTCGTTTGCACAAATACCTTATCACACACAGCATTTGGCACTGCTCACCCAGTACTGCCCAGTTTAGCGTATTTTGATACACATTCACACTGATACCCCCCAAAGAAATATAAATTAAAATGACTCTTACCTGTAAAAAGGCCTTTTTTTTCTGGTGATGGTGAAGATACATCCTGATTTAGGAGAAACCAACTGATGGCAGATGAAAGTGATTAATCTATCAGCAATTAAATTTTTCTGCTCAAATCATGTTTATCCCTAATCATTGGCAGGCAAAGGACAAGCAAAACCTAAAGCCTGCCCAAAGATCACCCAACACTGGGATTAAAGCAGAATTTGTTCATTTCACTACAAATGCTAGCACCACAGAAGTAGAAAAGGAGGTTATTCATGGAGGTTTTGCATTAATGGGAGGGGGGAGCCTGTTAAATGATCTCCCATCAAGATAAAAGAAAAGAGGTGACATCATGTGATAAATCCCAGAAAAAGATACTATTAACCAGGTGTTATTGCCATTTATTGCCTCCTCTTGGAATTTGCCTCATCTGAAGTGGGGTCATTGTTGTGAATTGTGAAACAAGCCAAGATCCCAAACCAATGGTGAATACTTTGCCCTCTAGCTGTTTTTGGACTCCAGTCCTTCAATAGGCTAGAATTCAAGAAGTTATGGGGGGGGGAGTCTATTGTAGGCTGTCATAGACCATTTTCTATGTGTAGTTATTTGGAGGGGGGGAATGGTGTTAATTTTATATTTGGTAATAATCATAATTCTAGCTTGAAACAGTTTATGTGTGGCTCATTCTCCACTCAAAGATTTTATGGGAGAGAGAAGTTTAAGAGAGGATATTAGAGCTTGGTTGCAGCTAATAACAAGTTATTTTTATTTATTTATTTCATTTGTATGCCACCTTTCTTCCAGAAGGGACCCAAGGTGCCTCACATATAAAAACATTTTGGAAAACATTACAATAAAATTCAAAGCAGTTAAAATCCTCTTTAAATGGTTTAAAAATAACATTAAAATATACAAAAGTTAAAAGGCATGACTAAAACACCCATATTAAAAAAAACCTACTATGGTATGATTATATATTGAATGCCTGCTTAAATAAAAACATCTTAGGCAAGCAGGGAGGGGGCCAACCTAGCCTCTCATGGAAGTTAGGGCGTCTGCAGATGGGCGGCTCTGAGCCGCCCTGGTAACCGGCAGATCGGGGCTGTGGCATCCCCATGCCACAGCCCTGATCCTCCCTTTTGCCGCCCCAAAAAGAGTAGCAAAATGCCGCTCCTTTTAGGGATGGCAAAAGGCCACTCTAAGAGC